TCTCAAGCTTCTTGCATTATAATACTAACTTTTATAATCTTACAATTTATTAAAAAGCTCTGTATGTCTAACAGATTTTTCAGTAGTATGATCTCTAATTTTTTTAACCAATCCGCCTCCTAACTTTTACTTAAACATCAAAGTAGCTGCTAATTAATATTCACTGAGTGCTGCTGTGTGTCTCTCCTCCAACCACGTAGCGACTTTGTACGCAGTGAAATGCAACCGCAAATCAAATGTCTTAAAACGACAGATCCGATGATGTCACACCAAGATGTGAGACACTGGAGCAGCAGGAGAGAGGAAAAAAAAAACATAGACTCAAAATGCTCTGAACACAGACAGCTGCACCAACCTCTGTTACCTTAGGCTAAAGTAAATAAGCAGAGAAGGGAAAAAAGTGGAAATTATTGGTGGGTACATGTCCACACCAGTCCTTCAGAAAGTTACACCTGTGTCTCATTTAATAGTAACATCGCAGAAGGAATAATTCAGTCTCTGAGGACTGAGTATATTTATAATAAAAAAAAAAAAAGTTCTTTTCAACAAAAATTAAATCGCCATAACTGTGTTCGGCTTTTCATATGGTGATAAACAATCCCTGCACTCATATGCAAATTAGCATTGTGTCAAAACGCTACCTACTTTAATTTCTCCAAAATGTTGACATCTTACCTTATCTGATTTTCTGAACATTGGTTCATAAAGTGGAGAGAAAATATAAGTCATGCATCTTTTAGCACAAGTTTAGAGTAAAACTTGGAAAGTTATCATCCGCTGTCATTTCTCAATTTTGAGAAAAGAGATAAATAAGAAGCTCTTATTGTGAAAGACCAGACAATGAGATGCAAAGTGATAAAGAAAATAATCATGTTTTTCTTTCTTTTAATCATAAAACACTAAATTGTTGAAAGAAAAAGAAAAGCATATTTTTAAGACTTTCCGTGGTTAGAGTTCAAGCTGTGGTTTTTGAAACCCATCATGGACGTAGAGATCCTTCCTGCTGCCTATTTGCTGCCAAGCTCCCGGGCCCTCTCAGTGGCTGATTCCACCGCACTCATGACAGACGCCCTCAATCCTCCCTGCTCTAGAGTGTGAAGCCCATAGATTGTTGTTCCACCAGGCGTGCAGACCTCAGACCGAAGCTGAGCTGGATGCTTCCCAGAATCGCGTAACAATCTCCCAGCACCCTGCAGCACATTATAGTAGAGAAAAAAAACTGTAAATATGAAAATAGATTCCTTAATCAAGAATATCTGGAAAACAACTGTGTAGATAGAAGATTAAACTGACAAGAACAGTTTGGGATGCAATGCTGTGAGCCAGAGAACTTGGCATGCCCATTTTTACAGCTCCTTCTGCCAGTGCTTCAGCAAAAAGATACACCTGGAAAAAAAGAAGCAACATTTACAACAAGCAACATTTTACACAGTGCATATATGTTACTCTTGGGAGATAATTCAGAGTAAATATGGTTTATTTTACTAACAAACTCTGTATTCATATTATCGAAAGGTTTAATGGGTGTCATATTATGTAAAAATACAAAGAACTTAACACAGACTTACAAAAGCAACTCCGCTCCCACTCAGCCCTGTGTGGATATCGATCCAGGCTTCAGGCCCTTCCTCTACCAAACCGCAGCAATGCAACAAGCTGCGAAGCACATCCCCATGCTCCTGCTTTGCGTTGGCCCCCCGTGTAAACAAAAGGGCCCCCTCTTGAACCAGACAGGGAAGGTTTGGCATCAGTCGGATGACGATCGAATTTTCCGGGAGAAGCTTGTAACGAAAGGAAACAAGCAAAGCAAAAGACAAAAAGGTGTAAGATATTTGACATCATGGTAGATCAACCCATTGATGTGGAAATCTTTAACAGCAGCTATAGCCCTCACCTCCTCCAACACAGATAGGGTCACTCCTGCAGCAACAGACACAACAATGTGTTTCTTGGTAACGTACTGAGAGATTTCTGAGAGAACGAGTCGAACGAGATGAGGTTTGACTGCGACAAACACCACATCTGACCCACAGACTACCTCTGCGTTCGAGTGAGTTACAGAGATGCCAACTTCCTGAAATCATTGTAAAAGCACATCAGCAGTAGGAGATATAAAATACTCTGAACAGAATCCAGGGCAGGTGAAATAACCGATTGTTGATTTGATAAAAAAAAAAGAGGGTTTTCTCTCTTCATAATTGCAGAGCTTGTTACAAATGGCTTGTAGAGAAAGTCAGACAACTAAACTTAGAAACAACAACATGTTCTCATCTGTTACCGCTAATTTTCCACAGGTAGCAGCTAGAAAAATAAGAGAAGCAGGATTAAACAATGGTACCTGGAAACGTTTCATATTCCTAGAGGATGGTGCGCTGACTTTGATGTTTACAGGGAGAACGTTTCCTTCAAAGTAACAAAATCACCATGAGGATTTTTTGCTCAATCATTATTATTTCAGCGTTTCAACCAGTCTGCTGACCTGACAGCATGCCCTTTGCGATGCCAAAAGCCATGTTTCCTGCACCAATGAAACCGATCCTCAGTGGTTTGTCTGCATCGGGGTCCATTTTGGTCTGAAAGAAATGCAAAGAAGAAAAATTTGTCTGGAAATGTCACGTTCTTTACTGTACCGATTCTTTCCTCTTTTTTTTTAGATATATTCTTTGAAAGAATATGAATATTGAAAGAAACACATTTTCATCATCTGCCAGCAAAATATTGTTAATTGAGACCATTTTCCCTCAGTTAGAGGATTCATAGTAATAATGCAGCTCATGTTCTTCACTTTACGACAACAAATGCTGCAGGACATATATAAGACATGAAATTGAGATCCCTGTACGCAACAGTTTACAGATCTGTGTGCAACAGAACATGTGATGTTTTTTTGTGGAATGGAAGGTTATAAATAACCTGTCCCTAAAGTGCGACCCTTAATTAGTTCCTCGTGTCCATTTCAGCTCTTGGTTCATATATATATATATATATATATATATGTGTGTGTGTGTGTGTGTGTGTGCGCGTGTGTCAGGGCTGTCAACTCTCACCCATTAGGAGTGAGACTCACCCATCTCAGTGTCTTCACACACTCTCACTACATATTACCAATTTCTCACACTAAAAAATGACAGTCATTAAAACTCAGTCTAGTTTAATAATCTCCCGTTGAAATTTAGGAGTAATTAAATCAACGCAAATATTTTAACACTTAAAGTTTTCAGGTTTGCCCATAGGAGGTCCACAAAAAGAAAAAGAACTATTGCATTTTATTTTTCAAAAGATCAGCCACCCAAGAAAAGACCAACCACATCCAGAGAGGAGGTGCAGAAAAACTCAGTTATCCAGGATTCATAGAGGAGAAACCACAGGGATGTTCTTCATTTATTATTACTGATCATATTCATTTACGGTATCTTTATTTTGGTCCATTGAATAAGTTTAAAAACTTAAATTTCCATCACACCTTCCAAAATGAAAACATCCAGAGAAGTGCCGTCTCCTGTCAATTGTATTAAAAACTAATAACATAATAAATAAAGCTTTTTAATCCTTATTCTATTACCAAATATTCATACACAGTGTAGTTTGCATTGGTTTCAACTGCATTGGTTCCTGTTTCAGTGTCAGTAATCCAGTGATAACTTATTAGTTCCAAATTGTTTACTTTACTTGAACTGCAGATAATGATTAATGAACAAAGTTGTGAATTTCTTAGTGTAAAGTATAATTAAGATGCAAGTATTTTAGTGGGGCCCATTCTGCTTTACTTCAATTCTCTAAAAATCACAAGAATGTAGAAAATAAAGTATATTGTTAAAAAAAAAAAAAAAAGGTCCATATAACTACAGTCCACTAATTGTTACTCAGTAACATTTACTGTTTTATAAAAATTTCACATTTTGCCACTTTGTTTCAGTTAAATCCTCTGAAAACCAACCTATAGCTGCACCTGTCCTCATCTGACCTTGACAAGGTTTACTGTCAAGAGTCAAATAATGCTAACCTGACAACAACCAGATGCATGTCTCGCTCCGCCTAGCTGGAGCAAGGCGGAGCGAGACATGCATCCGGCTGTTGTCAGGTTAAAATAATGCAGCCACATTCTTAAAATGAAAAAGAATTTCTGGAAATGCTTTTTCACTTTCAAATTTTACATTTCAAATTGAATTTTGGTATTTATTTGCTGGGGTTCCTTTAAAAAAAATAAATCTCAAATGTTTTTTTCTTTTTCATTTTAATTAAGTAAAAGGATGAGCAGTCTTGTAGAAGAAAATGGAAATGCAAAGAGGATTATTGATTACTAATTTAACTTATGAGTCAATGCAGCCACATTCTTAAAATGAAGCATTTCTGAAAATGCTTCTTCATCTGAAATATGGTGACGATTTGCTTCCATACAATCTGCTTCAATGGGCTAGGCTAGCTTATAATGTGCTAACGCGGCTAACTAGAAGACTCACATAAGCAGATTTATTCCCACTGTCTGGTTAGCCGGCTCAAAAAGATGTTCCGAAAGTTCCATCCCATATTCAGAGAATAAAACCCTCTGCTGGATGAAACGGGCTTTCATTTTAAATTGGTAATCCTTCACACGTGTTTAGCTAATTTAATAACAACAAGAAAACAGAGTCATTTCAGTTTGTAAGAATATCAGACGCCGAAGGGGTTATTATTCACCTGATTCCGTTTTTCTGAACCACTGAAGTCCAATGTATTTTAAATTAAAAGTTGTGTTTTGAATTGTCAAATAGTCTGCCCGGGTTACTCCCCCCTAGCATCCATAAGAACCAACCGGAGGAGAAGAACTGCTTCGTGAGTTTGTTTGATTTCTATTCTTTGTCCTGCCGCTATGGTGGGCGGTGCAATGAGTGTCATCTCAGGCAGAGTTTTGCACCTCCTATTTTAGCTGACGTCGTATTTTAAATCGAACGCCCCCTGTAAAAAAAATCGACTAATGTGATTGGTTGCCTGGTTGAGGAGCAAATTTAGCCATCATCTCAATCAGCTGTTATTGCCTGCAGATCCCGGACTGTTTGCTTTCCCTGCGCGTTTAGGAGCTTCCCTCAAATTCAAATAAGGTATTTATTACATCCTCTTCAAGCCCCTGCTCATTTTTCATATGTCTTTTACTTTGATACAGAAGAAAACTTAGACAACTTTAAATATAATTTTGTATACTCAGGGTGTAAACAAAACGAAATGTTGTTTTAGTACAGCTTTTCAGACAGTAAATTAACATTTTCATTCCATAAAGTGCAGCAGTGATCTAATGTTAACAGTGTGGGAGAAAAAAAACATACATCAATATGGAAATTTAAAGCATTAATATATATATATATGATGCAAATATGCATTAATTTTGATCTGGAGCTGTAGCAGTTGCCTCCAGGCGCAGCTATATTGAACATGTCTTATAAACAATCTATGTATTGCTTGAAATTATAGTGTAAATAAGCTGAATGTAATTTTAGGGTAACCTTTTTTTTAATTATTTTAGGTAAACTGTTAACACATGCAGGTTTGCAATGTAAATATTAGGGGAAAAAAGAAAAAAACATTTGCAAACCAATGAATTGCAGTGGATCCTCCACAGTTCTACTGTGAAATAACATGTCTGGGCAAACCCCCCTTAGCTCTGTCCTTTTAAATACGCAGATGGATTCATCTTTATTTCATCTTGGCTATAGAGGTTGACTCTACTTGTAAACAAACAATTAATTTAGAGTCTAACGAATAGAAGATTAATTTTAATCTGTCAGAAATCAACAATTGATCAATTTATACCGCCATCTGTAGTTGATGAGTAGAATTGCAGGTGTCCAGAACCAAAAAAAGCTGGAAAAATAGCACTTAGTGTAGTGTAACCCTAACCCCTGATCTAAAGGGTGAAATACTGACTGCCATTTCTAAATACTTAATAAAGTAAATTTCAAAGGTAAATATACAATGTTCCAAATAATGGATCAGTTATGGCATCTCCTGCCAAACGAGGAACTGATTTGGTATTAGACTGGAAAAAAAAATCTTTGAAAAGTGTTTTTCCTTCATTTGGGCGGGCAGATTGATAATTTACCAAAGGAATATGTATCTTTTTTCACTTTACATAATATTATTAGATATTATAAAGTGGAAATAACAAAAAGCAGTTGTTTTGGGGGTTTTATTATTTCGGTTGTAAAGCATTTTATTCCATTGGGGAAAATGTCTTGCCTATCTGCTTAAATAATGGGGAAATAATCATATTTCAAGATGAGTAGAGTACAGATTATAGAACAACTTTATCTCTTTTAACCTCATATTTCCTCATTCGATAATGAAAATATTTATTAAGCCAATTAAGTAATTCTCAACAGCTCCATATTAATTAATTGAGCACTTTGAAAAGAAACAGAGTATTTTATTTAAACTTTTTTTATGAATACAAACATTTTTATTTATGCAGGTGTATGTTTGGCTACCTTAAGACCAAATAGAATTCCTTGTATTGTAAAACATTGCTTGGCAATATAACTTTCTCTGATTTAATGTGTTTATCAACTGTTCATACTGTAATAATATGTGAACCTTGGAACCCTGAAATATTTGAATGTATAAAGGAGGCCTTTTAAATCTGTGTTCTGATCCAGACATGGCCCACCACCTCCTCCACCATCTGCTCCTCCTGATTACTGTCTGGATGCTGGCCTGTCCTGCAGTCAGCGGCCTGTTTGAGTGGTTGAGGACATCACAGCCTCCTCCTGCAGAGACGACGACGACTCCAGTAGCTCCGGCGGTCCTGGCGAAAGATGCTCGGTTTGAAATGATGACCGCAGATGAGAAGTTTCTAGCTGAGGCGAAGCAGCTGGAGCTGAGCCCATTAGACAGCTGCCACTACAGGGTAAACATGGTTTTCTACCATTGTTCATTTTCAGAGAAACTGTTTTCTTTTCTTGATGGATTGCTTACAGGTACTTCTAAGAACCAAGTAAGCTCAAGAATTGGCGGGACAAAGTTTGTCAATTTGTATATAAAAGCTTTGTACATTTTAATCGAACCAGACTAATTGCAATGAGTGGAGCCATGACGATATCTGGAAAATGCTTTTTGGTGGAGCCTGATTTATTTGGTGTAAGGCGGGAAAAACATTGACTTTTGGATGTTTCTGCAGGTCGTCGCCCGGCTAAGGTCGAGCTGTGAAAGCCTCTCTGAGGAAAATCTTGCCAAATTTGGAGTGGAACTGTTTAACTGCCAGGCAGAGATCGAAGGGCGCCGGACCTTCCCATGCACAGAGGAGATGGTAAAACTTTAAAATTGGGTTTAATCAAAAAAAGTTTTGTTTTATAATGGTCTTATTGTTTTAGACGATTAAAGAATGCACAGCAGACATGGACCCAGACACCTGGAACGCCTACCACATAGTGAGCAACAGAGCGCGCTCAGTTTGCTACGCAACTCGCCAGCAGCTTTTTCGCCGGCGAGCAGAGCTCACAGTCAATTCACTCATCTCCACGGCAACAAGCCAGTTGGATGCAATGAAGGACCTTAAGGTGAAGTTTTTGTTTCCTCTCAATCTAAGGCTTTCTACATTCCGCTCTAAAGCACCAGATCCTGAGATTGTTTTTGTTTGTTTTGCTGTTTTGAACCAGGTGGGACAGCTGGAGCTGAAAGAGCTGACTGCAGCTTCTCTGGACAAGCTGCTGGAAGGCCACAGCGTGCTCCAGTCTCAACAGGGCAAACTGAACGAGGGTCAGGAGCAGATGGAGAGTTCGTTGAAGGAAAACCTGGAACGCCTGGGTCAGGAAAAGGCCCTGATTGCTTCTGGACAGGAGCTGGTAGCTCAGCTCATTCAGGGCATTACAAAGCAAATGGGTAAGAGGCTCACTATTATTTGTTTTCCACAAACTGTTAGAACTCTAACACTGCTGGAGGACTCGGCTTTTATTTACCGCCATCTTCTTATCCAGATGTTCAACTGAATAGAGATTTTTTTTTTTCTCCATTAGAAAACGTGAGTGAATATCTACATATCCAAAGCTCCGAGGTCCAAGACAACCATGAGGCCATTGTTGATGAACTCAACGATGTCAGGCATCAAGCTCAGGATATCTACCAGAAAATTGGTATTTTATCAACTTAACAGTAATTCTGAATGGTGCTTAATGGCTGGGCTGCATTGTTTAGTAATTTATTGTTTGCTGCTGCGAATCAACAGACCACAGCATGTCTGAGTTTTTGCAGTACCAGGACCAGACCTCCCAGTACTACACCGACCTGATGAATAAACTGGAACGCATGAACAGCACACTGGGAGCCATGCTGCACTACTTGGATAACATGCAGCATCGCATAGAGGAGAGGCTTCATGTGATCCAGAGCTACCTTGGCTGGGCAGGTGAGTGGACCATGATACTGAAATAAAACTTCACTCCTGTCTTTAACCCTTTAAAGCCCGATCCAAGAATAAAACAAAACAGAAAATTACTTTTTGTAAAAAGTGTAAAAAGAAAACACAGAAATACATTTTTGATATTAATAATTTATCACTATGCGATAAGTCAAGATTATTTTTTGTGTAGTCTTCTGCCCTCTGTTATCAGGTATATCTGATTGTGTACAATAGGATTTTGAGCAAAGTTTTTACCATTAAATTATGCAAAAGGTGTCAGACGCAAAAAATTTCAGAAACCGTATGTATCAAATACGATACATTTGGCATTACAGGGTTAAAACACTTATTATACATATGTATGAAAAAAAAAAAGTATTCATCTTATACCCATCAGGTCAAATTCATTCTGATAACATTAATCTAGTCCTGGTTGGCTCATTATTTTAGTGTTTTCTTCCTAAAAGGAGGAAAAGGTTACTAAATTGAAAATCATTTTGTGATTTTTAACTAATTTACTTTCTTTCCCACTCATCTAAGTGATCTTTATTGTGCTGGTGAAGATTCTCAATCATCCAGGTCAGTCATTCCAAAAAAAGAAAATTAAAAACAAAATTTTTTTTTGTCCAGTGGTTTGTTTTTAATTTTCTTTTTTTGGAATGATGCTCATTGTTTTTATTTTTTCACTTACACCCGTGTGGGATTGCTGTCCACAAGTGATTTAGCATATAAGATCAGTATAAAATCAGGTTTTCTTGAACGTATGTTTCTTCTTCCTGCAGGTTTAAATATAACAGCCATGTGGACCTGTGTCGCACACACGGCCTACTTCATATTGTGTGCGGTGCTTCTGACGTTCCTGCGCTGTCCGGTTTTCTCTCGAGCCATGCTGCTCCTGGTGGTTCCTCTGAATGCAGCAGCTGAGGTCAACCAGCAGCCGGCTCTGGACCTCAGCAGCCTCAGTGTGCTGCTGCTCACTCTGTCCCTGGGTACAAGCTTTGAGCAAGTTACAAATCTGAAGTTCCTGAGTGCATTCCTGACGGGATTGCTTGTTTCTGTAGGTCACTGGTTTGTGATTCATCTTTGGGCATGTTTGCCCAGCAGAAAAGAGTCGCCTTCACCAATGATGCTGGGCCCATGTAACATCATAGAGACTCAGAAGGGCACAAAGTTGGGTCCACAATCATCCACACCGGAGAGGTTTCTATATTTCCTCTTTATTTAAAATCATTGGTGCAATAGAGGAACTTTACAATGCTGTTTCAATGAATTTAGCATTTCTATGCTTCGTTTCTATGAATTAAAGTGAACTGTGTCTTTAATTTTTTTTATTCTATATATTTCATCTCAAATTTTAGATGTGTAAAGGACGACTTATTCAAACCAGACTTGTTGGATACTGACACCTTTTTATCAGGTAGGGAAAAAAAATAGTTAAAACGATGCAATGAGACAGAGAAACTGAATTGCTCTTTTTGTTTACAGGTGAATTTTGCATGTCTCCCGTATCGCCCTCAAACCAAAGACCTATCCAACCAATATTTGGGACACTAAATCAGTCCATTACCAGACCAGAACCTCCTGAACCTCTATCACAGGTGAGCTCATTAGTGTGACATCACATGTCTAAAGTAGGGTTCCTAAATTCTGGTCCTAGAGGTCAGGTGACCTGCACCTTCAATGTGTCTCTACTTGGTAGAACCTGAATAAATACCAAGGAAGTAATTCAGCCATTTGATTCAGGTGTGGAAGCAGAGACTTCTACCTGGTGCAAGGCATTGGATCTAGAGGACTGAAATTGAGGAGACCTGCTCTAAAGTTCAGTGCATTTGAATTATTTATCAACTTATAATCATTTACAGGCTTTAATCGAAGACATCCCTCAGAAAATCCTGGGAAGAGTCTTTGATGCTGTGAATGACTCTCATGATATTGGCAGGGAGTTTAGAAGTCAGTCTCCCACCCCATCGATTATCAGCAACAGGTTAGCATTATTCATATTTTTACTCTGGTTCTGTAAAACTGCTGGGGATGCATATTAATTTTCAAAACTTCTTCATCCTAGAATTTTCATATTAACATTTAGGGGTTTTGAATGCTGGCATAGCTGGAGATAGGCACCAGCACCGCTCCTGACACCTGGGATTAAGTGTGACAGAAAATGTATAAATGCTGGGATGTTTACAGAGCTACGACTTCAAACAACCCACAGTGATTTGTTACATGAGAAGGGTTGATCATTTAAAGCAACATTTCTAAATACCGTAATTTTCGGACTATAAGCCGCGACTTTTTCCCCATTTTTCGACTTTGCGGCTTATATAACAATGCGGCTTATCTATGGACTTTTACAGCTAACGGCCACTGGGGTAATACCTAAATCTATGGATTTTACCATCCACCATGTTGACGTCACATTTTCTTCAACACACAAGTATGGTAGCCGTGTGCGGGGGAATGAGGAGGTCCTCCGGAAGCAGAATTCTACCACCAGTGGTACGAGACAGAAAGACGGATATTAAACATAAAAAAGCTGCGGCTTATAGTCTGGTGCGGCTTGTATATGTACAAATCATGCAATTTAGCTTCTGCGGCTTATATTCAGGTGCTGCTAATAGTCCGAAAATTACGGTAGTCATTTTTCCTGGTTTGCACCATCAGATTAAAAGCCTGTAGGTCCAAAAAGACGAGTATCTGCTTCCTGAATTCTTGCTTCTACGTTAAAATTACCTGAACTATAAATCAAAACAGGGCAAAAGCCCATATGTTTACTTGGGCTAGTTTTTCTTTAATGTAAATCATTTTCATAAACTAAATCTATATTTTTTTTACCGTTTTGTTTGAAGTTGTTCAGTGATTCTTATAAATATCGATCTTGATGATTTAGTTTGTCAGACATCACTGTAGACTTTGGATATAAACTAAATCCTCTGGTTTCTGTTGCAGCTCCTTCTCAGGCCGTCAGCTGTGTAACGGGATCACAAAAAATGGAAAAGCCTGCAAGAAGAAAGCGGTGCCAGGACAGGAATACTGCAGAGTCCATGAAGGGGGGCACAGCTCCTATGTTGTGTCCTAAATAATTTTGACATTAACTTTTTAAGAACTTCTTTTTTCCTTTTTAATCTAAACTGTTTGTAGTTTGCAGTGTTTTAAATCTTAAATGTTCACTGCCCAGGAACAATCTGGGCAGAGCAGTTTTATTACATGTTTATTTTAATAAAGCCTATCAAACATGCATTGTTTTGTTTTTTTTCTTTTCCATTAAATTTTTTTTTATCTTTTATTTCTCATACTTATGCTCATTTTATAACTTTTTCACCCTCCCAACAGCTAACTGTTTTCAGGTTTCTCACCACCATCTAAAGGGAAAATATGAGTTGTAAATAAAATAACTCTGACAGAAGTCAAACCTCCCTTTAATTTTTTTTTTTTTTTTTTTTTACCTCTGTGAAAATGCTACATCCTTTTATATGTTCAACTGGACCTACATATAAATGAAAGGAAAGTTATTTGTAAAGAAAGAATTCCTACTTCCTTAATGTTTGCAGTGAAAAGTAAGTTATAGATTGTCATAGATGTAAAGAGACAAAACACTTTAACTCGCTAAAAGATTAGGAACTATTGGAATGTTAAACAATCCAAGAGAAGGAGGCAAGTATATCCTAGCAAACATAGATATGATGGATGGCAGCCAGGCCATTACAGCACAGCTATGTAAGAGCTTGTTACGGTAGCAAAATGTCTCTTCTGCATCGAATGAAAAGGCCCAATGTTTAAACTAGCAGCAGTATCAGCATTTTGATTTCCCTCTTTAATGCCATGTGTATCACATTTAACTGCTAAGTGTAAAAACTATTAAAGGTAGGGTTTTGATAGTGGGTCAGGTTGTATACAAAGAAAAGACATGATGGCTATAGTGTTTGCACAGTTCCACCCTTCAAAGTAAAACTGACTGGTTTGCTTTATTAAAGGCTCGGCTGTATTCTCATCAGTATGATGTTTTGGAACCAGGACAGGAATTAAAAAGGCCTCATTAATTCTGCCAGACTGTAATGGCAGCCATTTATTGACCACAAATCGATTTCAGTTTACTCAGTAGGAAGCCTGTTTTTCTTCAAGCTACTGCACTGAGAACATTCTTTTTCTCTTACCCTGAAATTCCACATCCTCCACAACCGCCCCACTCTGTTCCAGACTGCCTGCAAAGCCTGCAGCCTCAACAGTTCCTCTCTTATATTCCTCAGAGCTCAAGGAGAGCATGTGCAATATTTAATTCATAGGAGCAAAATATGCGGAAATTAATGCTTAATGTGACAATTGAAAATCACCATCAGTATCAGTCACATGTTACCGCTCATTTTTTCTTTGTAATGTGGATAATTAGGATCATACAAAATTGGTTTGTTCTCTGCTTCCAAAATCAGCATCTCTTCATCCATGCCTGCGATAACAGGTTTGTTTTGAGGTTGTGAGATGTGCTTTTAAGCCTCTAGAAAATAAAAATTGATTAAAATTAGTAATCTGGTATGTTGAAGTACCAATAGTTTGCATATAATTTTATTTTTTGGGGAATATATAAGAATTATGCTCTAATTTGTAGTTACCGATCTGGCGTTACCATATTTTAATTTGACAAACCGGATCTTCTCCACCTTCTTTTTCCTGTTTGGTATGATTGCAATTGCGTATCTGGACCTAGCCGGCTTCCAATGGAGTGGAGCAAAAAATAGATTGGCTCCGTATTGTTACGGTGAAGGCTAGAGAAGACGTCGTGGACTGTGACGCGAGGATGAGTGGCTGTGGATGTGGAAAAGTTCTCATTGTTAAATATGACCGCGCAAGTGCTCTGCAGGACGTACATGAGCAGGGCGGAATGGTGACTGAGGATTTGGAATCTGGGGGTTAAGGATAAGAAGCTAAATGGACACAATTTCATCTTTAAATGTGTAACAAATTCCCATTTAAGCTTGAAAGACTTAATGACTGCTCTCCTCCTGGATGACCTCTGCTATGCGTTCCATAGGCAAACAATAGACTTAAACAATTAATTGTTTAAGTAAAGTAAAAGTAACTGCTAGCTTTTATGCATTTGATCTGTCAAAGAAAAAAAACTTGAGTATAAGCTCTGACATTGGAAGAGGAAATTAATAAATTTAAGAAAACGGTTCAAATGATCCGCCTGGAAATAAAAGCAAAAGAAAAGAATGATTTACCACACAGTTTACATGTTTTAGTTTGGTCCTGGAGTTTTATTATAAAACTACAAAGCTTCAGTGATAACCAGACATCATCACTATAGGCTCACTACTTCCTGCATGCCTCCGTACTCTGGCTTCTTCCAGAAACACGAAATGGATTGATGGATTTGGAACCAACCAGCTCAGCAGCTGGTTTACTTCCTGGCGGAGTCATAATTTGCAACAAACCAATCACACGTTTCTTTCAAAGCTGCAAGTGAAAACCAGAAAACATCTGTTAAGGTACAGAATCCACTTCTGTAAAACAAACCAGAAATGTTTGATCTCACCTTGTTTGAAGGGTGTGAATTTGAAGTCTGGCAGATAGCGGCATAGCTTTGCGTTACTGGCTGTCTTTTTAAACTGGCCATCCGCTTTACTGGTGTCATACTGGATACGGTCAAAGAAATCACACAATATCTACTAAAGAACAAACACTTTTTTTGCAAAAAAATTAAACTGATATAACTTTTACAAAGAACATTACAGAGACAGAAAACTTTATGTGGTGGATCATCATTTTGTCGCAAATAAGAAGAATGTTTATTATTTTGTCCCAAATAAGAATAAGTTGTCATTTGATGACAGACTCTAAGCCCCGCCCCCTCAGAACAGGAAGTTTAATTTTTTGGCTCCAAAGGTCCCATTTTGGCCCAAATAATTGAAACCACAAAAAAACACAGGATTCTGACAGAAAAAAAGTTGGGCTAACTTAGTTTTGAGGGAGAAATTTCTAGTTTTTAATTAAAATGTACATGGCTTGACATTTACAGCTGTAAATGAATAATTTTAAAGGATACCGTTACTCCTCCTTTAAATCCCAAAGATTCAACAACCGCATCTGCGGCTTCTTTAATGGAAACCTCGTCTTCCTCCCCAACTGTAACCAAATATCACATCATTAAACTTTCCTTTCAGTTAATAAGATCCATGATATATAACGGAAGGATTACCAGAGAGAATGATTGGATCGACCTCCGGATATTCTCTCAGGACCCAGAGAAAAAGACGAGCCAAGTCCAAAGAGTAGATGAACTGTCTTCTAGGAGAGCCTGAACCCCAGACCATCAGGGGCTTCCCCTCCTCTAACAAAACACAAAGAGTAAAAAAAAAAAAAAACTTAGCCTAAATGAACAGCCTTAAACTTTCACCTTAAAAAAAACCTCCAAAATGATGACGCCTCTCTGAAAGGGTGGACTTACTTTGAGCGATGTACGCTTTATGTATGAGCCCTGGCAGCACATGTCCATCTTCAATGCTGAAGTTGTCATGGGGACCAAACACATTCGTGGGAATCACAGCTGTGTAGCAGCGGCCATGCTGCTGAAAATAAGCCCTGAGAGACGGACATACAAACTAAAACTTAGGACCTAAATCACCCACATAAAGAGGAGCTTTATCTTGTTATAATATGAGACCAAAAGCAGACCTGTTTTGAACGTCAATCATCCTTTTAGCGTAGGCATAACCGAAGTTGGAATCATGAGGTGGGCCATTATGGATCTGGTGCCGACAGAGCAACATGTGGTTACTGTTAATAAACGGACTGATTGATTCTAACAGGAAGGATCGGAGGGAGGGTTCACCATGGTCTCGTCGATGGGATAGGTTGTTTTATCGGGGAAGATGCAGGTGGATAGACAGGAAACAACCTTGAGCGTTCCCACCTCATGCGCCGCCTGCAGCACGTTGTCGTTGATGTAGACGTTGTTCCTCTGTATGACAAAGATTGTTAGTTCAACCTTGGAGGCAAAGAGGGTAGGAACCATTCTGCAATAAACTCATGGAATAGGGACTATACAGGTGTTGAGGACTTTAAAGAAGTCTAACCAAACAAGGGAATATGTGCAAAAAAAGCTGATAGGGAAGCAAAGAATGCTGAAAATGTTGCTTCTGATAGTGAGTTCAGACCGCATGAGGTTGAGGCTGTGCAGGTAGTTCACTGCTCCGTGTTTCAGATGCACAATGTTTACACCCTGGATCGCATCATCAAATAGGAGGAGCTTCAGCTGCGTAAAGCTGACACCCGCAATTTTATCCGGGCCAACATTTTCGATGCTACTTCTTTTGTGCAGGTAAAACTATTGTTTGTGCTGATTTGGTTTTTAATAAATATTTATTTTTAATTATGGCCGATGATGTCACCATCCCAGCAGACGTTAGTGCTGCGTTTGTTTAATTTTATAAACTTATTGCATAACATCACATATCGTTCCTGTGCTGGTGTTGAGTATAACAGTGGGCATGTTTACCTTATTTAGTGGTTGGAATGATTGTTTAATATTTAGTAAATCCCCAGACTCTCTGCTTTTGACCTGCCGTTACCCCTGGCAACACCATGTCATTTCCTTTCAAGGTCTTGCTGTCGGTGGGCTTTTCACAATAAAAGCACAGGTGAAACTTAACCTCATGGACCGATGCAAAACTATTCGTTATAAAAACCATCAGTTTTTAGCGAAGCCCCAAAAGCTCTGAAAAAGAAGTGTTTCTAAGGCTAAAGTAAAACTGCTCTTTCTAAAGCCTCTTGAGCGCATTCCTTATTTCTACCTTTTTTATTGTTATTTTCTCTTTATTCAATTTAAAGTGAAAAAAGCTTCACCTACAACCAGTCCCTGATTGGCTACTAGGGGTGGGTATTGGCAAAGAAGTCATGATATGATTCGAATCACGATTCACATGCCACGATGCGATTCTATCACGATGCATCATGATACTTGAAATATTGCGATGCATTGCGATATTTTCACTGAACACTGTTAGAAAAAGATACAGCCCTTATCAGTGGCTGACTGGCTATGTGTGATCTGGATAGTGTCTTCATAACTGAAAGCAACTGAATTCATACATAGCTGTATTTATTGAAACGACTTTTGGAGGTGTTGCCATAAAAACAAATACTGGACACAAATATTACTACTACTGGCGTGGACACACTGACAAAAAGATCTTAGGATTCATCAAACTTAAAATAACAAAATAA